GGACTGTAGCCTGCCAGGCTTCTCTGTCCGCGGGATTCTCCAGGCAAGAATACTGGAATGGGGTGCCATTCCCTTCTCCAGGGGATCTTTCTGACCCAGAGATCAAACCCAGGTCTCCCACACTGGAGGCAGATTCTTTACTGCCTGAGCCACCAGGGAAGCCCCTAAGATTACTATGTAAGTTATTTTATTTACTCCCCACTACAACCTTAAGTGGTAGGCATTAGTCCCCAATTTTACAGAAAAGGGCAGAGAAATTAGGTAACTTGCTTCAAGTCACACAGCTAATAAGTACCAAAGCTAGAAATTAAATCCAGTTCAGCCTGACTCCAGAGCCTATGTTCTTAACCGTTGCAGTGAATTGCTATATTGTTTTGATCTATAAAATCAGAATGTAGCAGTAGTAACACAATCATTAATATGTTATCATCTTTTGTATGTATCTGATATTTTCTAAAGAGGCTTCCTTGCTCCTTGCAAGGAAGTTAATAAGTGAATGTTATGTGCTTAGTCGCTCAGTTGTGTCCGACTCTTTGTGACCCCATGACTGTAAACCCCCCAGGCTCCTCTCTCCATGGGATTCTCCAGGCAAGAATACTGGAGTGGGTTGCCATTCCCTTCTCTAGGGGATCTTCCCAGCCCAGGGATCAAACCCAGGTCTCCTACATTGCAGAGAGATTCTTGACCATCTGAGCCACCAGGGAAGCCCTTTTCTAAAGAAACAGTTTATTAGGCATAGTCTTCATGTCATACTCATGTCACAGCAAGCTTGACTGTGGTATCTGGAGATTAAGTGATCAGCAGGAGGTGATTCAACGGAGAACCAAAAAGTTTCTGATCCACAATTGCTTTCACTCACACGGTTCATATGAAGATCATACCATGCTTACTTAGACTTTACTCAGCCATTTCAGTGCAGTGTGTTGAAGGTTTAAGTGCTTATCTTAGACTGCGATGCTATCTTGAGCAAGACATGGATCCTTGGGCCTTACTGTGGATTTCAGAACAATAGAGCCTATTAGCTCACGTTAGAAAACTTAATCCTGGCCTTGTGAAAAATCACAGCAAAGCAGAAGAGGAAAAGTCAATCTGAAATGTTTTTCCTTCTCCAAGAGGGCAGCTAAGGTGCCCAGATATCTCTGCCCTCCAGGGATGCAGGTGTGCAGTTTTTATTCTTTAATCATTCACATAAATTAAAGCCTATTCCTTTGCATTTTAAAAATAATATGAAATGACACCCTCCATGTTTTATTGCCAGACAAGAGCTTTGAACTTCTGTCTTACTGATGTTTGATAAAGTGCAAGGATTTTCCAGGGTTGGGTGGTACCCTTAACCACAGAAGGTAACTTGGGACTGGTAGGAGCTGCACGTGGGGGAAACGACCAGTGAGAAAGCAACTAGAGAGGAGGACTCTGTGCACTAGGCTTGTGTGAACTCCTCAGAGGAGCGTCCTCCTGCCTCTGCTGACTCTTCTCAATTCCTTCACTTCACCCGCGGGTGAAAAGAGCACTCGGTCTTTCTGTTTCTACTTTCCGAGCTAGGGGTGGGTGGGGTGAAGACTTTGTGGTGGGCAGGTTCTTTGTAAGAAACTTTGGAACCGGGGATGTGTTCTAACGTCACACAAATGCCGATTGGCATGCACACCTGTGCAGGTGGGGACAGGGTAAACACACACACACACTCACATGAATTCACATGGACACAGGTGGACCACACCTCTCAGATGATTTTACTATCAACATGCACCCCCTTCTTTCTTTTGTGCTCCATGTAAAATGAAGATCATATCTATTATAAAGCTTTTATAAAGTGTCAGTGATGCGGCAGTGTGGTATACAGTGTTAAGAGCGTGGGTTCTTGGTAGGACATACCTTGGCTTGAGTCTTGGCTTCTGTTCTTAGTAGCTGTGTGATCTTGAGAAAGGTACGTTATAAATCTCCATTCTCCCTTTTGTATATTGGAAACATGATCAAAATATCTATCGAAGGATTGTTATGAAGATGAAATAAAATAATGCATGTGAAACAATCAGCACAGTTTCTGGCTAGCTGTGCTAATGGTTATTCGGTGAGTTGCACATGTGCTCAAAATTGGTAGAGCTGTTATTGTTATCATCATTATTATGTGTAATATTAAGTTCTAAATATCTGATTGGTAGCTGAATATTAAATAGGTACAGTCCTTTATTTATATTTGTTTTCTTTTTTCCTTTACCTGCTCCCCATCCCCCGTTTTTCCCGCCCTTGGTGCAAAGTCTGTTTTCCAGAAAATTCCTCCCTTTTTTGAGGAAAACAAAAGTACTTTGATTCTAACTGCTCTGAAAACATTTCTCCCTTAAAGGGCTTTCACATTGACTTTTAGCCCCTGGAGCTAAGATGGAGAAGAAGCAGGATTTGCTTCTAAGTAGAGCTCTTTCATTTCTGCTGTCAAAAAACAAAACAAAAACCAAAACAAAAAATCTCCTAATCTTTTGTAGTAGCCTTAGGTAGTTCCAAGTCATAAAAGCTTATAAATAGTCCAAGGAAGGAATCTTTTTGTAAGATAAGGGTAAGTGGGTGGAATAAGGGAAGGAGAATACAGAGGTGAAAGTATAGCTGATTTTAATGTTAATTTGGCCACGCCCCCCCCAGTTTCATATATACTTAATTATAAAACAATTAATGCCAGAATTGTCTGTTGTTGTTGTTGTGCCGTGAGACTTGCAGGACCTTAGTTCCTCAACCAGGGATTGAACCCAGGGCTAATGGTAGTGGAAGCACTGAATCCTAACCACTGGACCACCAGGGAAGTCCCAAGACATTCTCATGTATTATCTCACGACTTCGCTGTCAGTTTTGGCGATTTCTTAGTGAAATAGTTTTCCAGTTGGATGAACTGTTGATGAAGCACGGGTTTTGTTTTCACATCTTTTTGTGGGGTCGGAGTTGGAGAATGTTTGCAGTAGCTGATAGTTGTTAACTTTGGGAAGCACTCATATCGAGAGAGTAAGTCATGGAATGTAAACATGTCATTCATCCAGACTTTAGGCTGGTGTCAACATGGTGAAACTTTAGGTAACCACTGTCAAACAAAGACTGTCTTAAGTACATCTTGGGTAGATGAACTTATTTGCTTTACAAGTCTCACGAAACTACCAGGACTTCAGGAATGTTTTTTTGTTTGTTTGTTTGTTTGTTTTTTTAAGTATCTAATTTTACAAACTTTAGGTAATTCCCTCATATTTCCCTGAGGGATGAAAATAGGAAAGAGGCAAGTGTTCATCTTGGTAGCAACTTTGTGGAACTGTTTTGTGGCAGGATATTTGTTACTTTGGGGTTTTTTGTTCTTACTGCCCCAGATGAAAATTGTTTTGTTTGTTTTGCTTTTGAAAAAGAAAAAAATTGGATGGTAAATGGAAATACTGAATTTGAGGTTTACATGTGAAGTGTGCCAGGATACCACTGTTATAGCTAAAGACAAGACTCAGGGAAGGGGAACAAGCGTCTGGTGAGCACCTGCTGTTAGAAGCTCTGCTGTATTACTGAAGCAGACCTCCAATAGCCCTTTGAGATCGACTTTTAATGAGACATATTATCAAGAAAACCAGGCATTGTGGTTTAAGAATAGTGATGATGTTATTATCCACATTTTACAGTGAGGATATAGGCTTGCAGACTAATTTGCCCAAGGTCGCACAGCTAGGAATTTGGTAGGGCTGAGGAGGGAACTCAGGTCTCTCAGAACTCCAAAGCCCAAGTTCTTAACCAGTGATTGTTAAACTTCAGGATACGTAAGCAACTTCAAGGGTACATGTTAAAATTACTGGGCTCCAATTAGAATTTTAAGATCACTAAGTCTGAGATAGTGCCAGGTTATGAATCTGTATTTTAATAGGGTATCTCAGGCTATTCACATTAAGTTGATTAGCCATGTTTAGAGAAAGAATTAAATTCTGTTTCTTTCATTACTTATATGTGGCATCTAAAATATGATGCAAATGAACTTTATTTACAAAACAGAAACAGACGCACAGACATAGGTAACAAATTTATGGTTACCAACAGGGAAGGCGTGGAGGGATAAATTAGGAGTGGGGGATTAGCAGATACAAACTACTATGTATAAAATAGATAAATAGGATTCTACTATATAGCACAGGAAACTATATTCAAGCTTTTGTAATAACTATAGTGGAAAAGAACAAATGTATATATAACTGAATCATTTTCCTATACACCAGGAACTAACACAACATTGTAGATCAACTGTATTTCAATTTAAAAATAAATACATAAAATTATGTTTCTTTCCACACTTGATAAAGAAGAAAACAGGTGCAGATTAAATAACTATCCAAGATTATGCTCTCAGAGTCATGGTTCCAACCCAGGTCTGTCTGATTCTAGTACTCATCACACCCTTTACTACAAGCCCATGATGAAGTCACACATCTGCTAGTCACAACAAATGTGGGAAACATGGTTTCTGATAAATCAGGCCACCCAGATTTCATGGTCTTATTATTTACCAAGATTAATAACTTTTAACATCTTTACTGAAATCTTCATGGTCCTTAAACTTTTTCAGTGACTTTTAAATTTTTTTTAGTGGAAGAATTGCGTTTTCCTTGCAATCAGGCATAGAATCGTTACTCCCTAGGACAAATTTCTGAGCCATGCAGAAGTGGAAGGAGGTGGGAAGAAGGAATTCCCAGGTGTATCTGCTAAATGGTGCTAAAGCTCCTCACCCTTATCACTGAAATAAAAACAGAATGGCTGATATTAATACTAACAGCCAATCAAACGGCAGCAGGTCTTCTACAGCATCTCCCTCTCTCTCTACCCATTGAGACTATAGCTCAGCTAGGGCCATGAGCTGGTTTACCTATTGCAGTCCACTTCCTAGAGCAGAGCCAGCGCCTTGATTGACTTTCATGGCTTACTGGGGTTTGGAGGACTTCTTTTTTTTTTATCTCCCTCTCACTTTCTCCCTCTCTCTCTCTCTTTTTTTTCTGTAGCTCAGCGACATGTCCTCACATACGTGGAGGATGCAGTCTGCCAGCTGCTAGAGAACAAGGAAGATATTAGCCAATATGGCATTGCCAGATTCTTCACAGAATAGTAAGTACTGAGTGCTTTGCCTGTGGGGCAGGTCCAGAAGAGGCTTTTGGAAGCAGCCAAGACCCGTGAAAAGGAGAGCGGGGCTGCGGTGATGGAGCAGTGGCAGTGCGCGCTGCTTCGGTGGCGGAGCTGAGGGCTGCCCAAACATGTTTGGGAATGTGTTTGGCGCAGCCAGTTTTGTCTAATGCTAAGTCTCGTGAGTAGTCACAACTCTAGAAGCTCAACAACTGCTTGTTTGATCTACTGCTGCTGTTGCTGTCCAGTCAATAAGTCGTGTCCAGCTCTTTGCAACCCATGGACTGTAGCCCCGCTGGCTGCTCTGTCCATGGGATTCTCCAGGCAAGAATACTAGAGTGGGTGGCCATTTTCCTCCTCCAGGGGATCTTCCCGACCCAGGGATCAAATCCCCATCTCCTGCTTGGCAGGATAATTCACCACTGAGCCCCCTGGGAAGCCCTGTTTGATCTTTTACATTCTTTTTTTTTTTTTTAGGTTCCTCTTATAATTTTTAACTTTTCCCATTATTCAGAATATTCACTCTGATTTCCTTTAGTCTTTGTTCTGTTAGCCTGTGTTTTTCTTGGCTGGCTTTTTTCCATGGAAATGTTTAGGATGATATTCCTCTGCAGTTTTCCTTCCAGGGGATGCTGTATCCATCACTTAAGAATTTAAGATTATTTCTAGAGACAGGAGATCTTTCATAGATTATATCTTTATAATATATGTTCCTTTATAAAGTATGTTTGGAGTGTGTAAAAGTCAAGATGATTATTCACTTTTTAATTCATAGAAAATGGTTTTCTTCAAGTTTTATTGAGATATAATTGATAGACAGCATTGTATAAGTTTAAGATGCATAGCATAGTGATTTGATTTACATACATCATGAAGTGATTATCACCATAAATTTAGATGAACATCTATCATCTTAGATAGATAATTAAAGAAATAGAAAAAAACTTTTTTTCTCTTGATGAGAACTCTTAGGATTTCCTCTCAACAATTTTCATATGTAACATATGAAATTTTCATATGGAACATACATTATTATATCCCCAGTACTTGTTTATCTTATAACTGGAAGTTTTGATTACCTTTATCCAATTCCTCTTATCCCTCCCCACCTCTGATCACCCCAAATCTGATCTCTATTTCTGTTTGTTTTTTTAAAAAACCTTTTATTTTGTGTTGGAGTATAGCCAGTTACCAGTGTTGTGATGGTTTCAGGTTCACAGCAAAGGGACTCAGCCACATGTATACATGTATCTATTCTCCCCCAAGCTCCCTACCATCCAGGCTACCACACAACATTGACCAGTTTCATGTGCTATACATTAGGTCCTTGTTGGTTATCCATTTTAAATATAGCAGTGTGTACACGTCCATCCCAAACTGAGTTTGGTTTTGAATTATAGACCTAGAACACTCTTAGTTCCTGTTACACAGCATAGTGATTTGATATTTCTTTTACATTTGACACTGATTACTGCAACAAGTCTAATTATGATAGTTCACTATACAAAGATATTAGTTTTTTTTTCAATTTTAGATATTAGTTACTGACCACATTCTCCTCACTGTACACTTCATACCCATAAGCCATTTTTTTTTGTTTTGCCACCAGAATTTACCTCTTAAACTCTCTTACCTATTTCTTTCTTTTTGATATCACAAAACTGCTTTTAGGCTGAATGAGATAATCAGTTTAAAATACCTTGGCTGCTCTGTCCATGGGATTCTCCAGGCAAGAATACTAGAGTGGGTGGCCATTTTCCTCCTCCAGGGGATCTTCCCGACCCAGGGATCAAATCCCCATCTCCTGCTTGGCAGGATAATTCACCACTGAGCCCCCTGGGAAACCCTGTTTGATCTTTTACATTCTTTTTTTTTTTTAGGTTCCTCTTATAATTTTTAACTTTTCCCATTATTCAGAATATTCACTCTGATTTCCTTTAGTCTTTGTTCTGTTAGCCTGTGTTTTTCTTGGCTGGCTTTTTTCCATGGAAATGTTTAGGATGATATTCCTCTGCAGTTTTCCTTCCAGAGGATGCTGTATCCATCACTTAAGAATTTAAGATTATTTCTAGAGACAGGAGATCTTTCATAGATTATATCTTTATAATATATGTTCCTTTATAAAGTATGTTTGGAGTGTGTAAAAGTCAAGATGATTATTCACTTTTTAATTCATAGAAAATGGTTTTCTTCAAGTTTTATTGAGATATAATTGATAGACAGCATTGTATAAGTTTAAGATGCATAGCATAGTGATTTGATTTACATACATCATGAAGTGATTATCACCATAAATTTAGATGAACATCTATCATCTTAGATAGATAATTAAAGAAATAGAAAAAAACTTTTTTTCTCTTGATGAGAACTCTTAGGATTTCCTCTCAACAATTTTCATATGTAACATATGAAATTTTCATATGGAACATACATTATTATATCCCCAGTACTTGTTTATCTTATAACTGGAAGTTTTGATTACCTTTATCCAGTTCCTCTTATCCCTCCCCACCTCTGATCACCCCAAATCTGATCTCTATTTCTGTTTGTTTTTTTAAAAAACCTTTTATTTTGTGTTGGAGTATAGCCAGTTACCAGTGTTGTGATGGTTTCAGGTTCACAGCAAAGGGACTCAGCCACATGTATACATGTATCTATTCTCCCCCAAGCTCCCTACCATCCAGGCTACCACACAACATTGACCAGTTTCATGTGCTATACATTAGGTCCTTGTTGGTTATCCATTTTAAATATAGCAGTGTGTACACGTCCATCCCAAACTGAGTTTGGTTTTGAATTATAGACCTAGAACACTCTTAGTTCCTGTTACACAGCATAGTGATTTGATATTTCTTTTACATTTGACACTGATTACTGCAACAAGTCTAATTATGATAGTTCACTATACAAAGATATTAGTTTTTTTTTCAATTTTAGATATTAGTTACTGACCACATTCTCCTCACTGTACACTTCATACCCATAAGCCATTTTTTTTTGTTTTGCCACCAGAATTTACCTCTTAAACTCTCTTACCTATTTCTTTCTTTTTGATATCACAAAACTGCTTTTAGGCTGAATGAGATAATCAGTTTAAAATACCGTGGTCTTCATGAAAGGCTATGTTAAAGAAATTTTAAAAATTATTTTTATTACCAAATTGCCATCACATATTTATACAATCATTTTTGTATTCTTTTCCCTTTTTTTCTGGTTCATTGTAAGCATTTTAAGAAAGGAAGAATAGCTCTTACAGGCTATCCTATTCTAAGGTGAATCATGAGCTCAGGTCTATTCTTGAAAATAGTTTTTTTTCCTTTCTATTCTCCAGAGGTTCCTTGAAGATTAGACATCTCCTCTAATGGCTTAAACTTGGGTTGCTGTTAGGGAAATTCTTGACTCACCCTCACTCTTTTGCTGAGCTATAAGTCTTGCAAATAAAATCTAGATTTTTTTATGGGTTGGAATTTCAAGTTCCTGGGAAAAACAGGCTTTCCAGGATCAGAACTGGTTCCTTGTCTTCTCCCAGTCGTCTGAAAGAGGATGAAGTAGAGCAAGGCATCTTCCTTGTTCTCATGGTATGGGCTGAAGCAGATGAAGTGGGCTGGGAACAAAGACTGAGATCAAATAGCCTTGCTTGCTTTTACAGAACTGACAAGCCTAGGGGTCAAGTTTCTAGGCCATTTAATCTGTACCAGCACCCTTGAGCCTCCTTGCCAAGTGAAATATGATTCTCCTGGGGGCAGTGCTTCTTCCTGGCCTGTTTCACTTTACTGTATGCTCCCTCCCCCATCTCCTTTACATCTTTTCCCTACTATGCTGGTTCCTTGAGGCTAGGCATCATTTCTTCTTCGTCTCTGTGTTCCCAATGCCTGGCATGCATTATGCCTAGTATATGATAGATGTTAGGTAAATATTTGTTGAATCTATAGCTGTATATATATTTTAAGTTATTGAATACTACCTATCTGGTGGCTCAGTGGTAAAGAATCCGCCTGCCAATGCAGGAGACACAGGTTCAATCCCTGGGTCAGGAAGATCCCCTGGAGTAGGAAATGGCAAGTCACTCCAGTATTCTTGCCTGGAGAATTCCATGAAGAGGAGCCTGGTGGGTTACAGTCCACAGGGTTGCAAAAGAGTCAGACACGACTTAATGACTAAACAGCAAACATTTCTATCTACTCTTTACTCTCGATCTTATTATGAATAAGGACTATCTCTTGTTCTTTTTTTCTTTTTTGTTGATTGTTTTTTATAAAGTTCTATATCCTGCCATTTAAGAAGCTGTAGACCATAATTCCCTGGTGGTCTGGTGGTTAGGACTCCTCACTTTGACTGCAGGGGGTCTGGGTTCAATCCTTGCCGGGGAACTAAGATCCCACTTGCTCTGCAGTCCAGCCGAAAAATAAAGAAGAAGCTGTATACCATGGATGTACCATGTGGCATGGGTTCCAAAAGTGAATCCACTAGTCTGTGTAACTAATTCTGAACTCTAATAAGGCTTATAACTATTTCCAAATGCTATTGACTATAGCTTTTATCTAGCAGTACACTGTTGGGGAAAAAAAGAGTCTTCAGATTTTCCACAGGGCTGATAGAAATCTAGTTACCAAGCGAGCAGTTTCTTGTCCTCAGAAAACTAAAAATTATATAATATATATGAATGGCACATACTTGACATTTCTATAACTCTAAGACAACTATATTGGCCTGAGGCAAGTTATTTTGAGAAGTAAGCCAGCATCAAAGCTCCAAAATCCTTTAGAAAAAAAAAAAAACTTGGAAGATGGATGATTAAGTGGGAAGTGGTATTTGGTAGGCAAGGAGACCTGCAAGGTAGAAGCTCTTGACTTGCCTTTGATTGTAAACTTAACTTATCTAGTGAAAATCCTTCTTTCACAGGCCTCAGTTTTGTATTGATTTGTAGAAGCATAATGAAGTGAAAGGCTCCTCAGATGGCTTAGTGGGTGAAGAATCTGCCTGCT